TACGGGCCGATATACATGTACACATGCACAAACACAGACAGAGAGAGAGAGAGAGAGAGAGAGAGCGGGGGAAAGGGTACGAGAAAAAAACACCAACAAAAAAAGAAGAGGGGGATTCACGTAAGATTCATAATGTCGTCAAGAAAGGCATCGACCTCGTCACGAGTATCAGAGACCGGGATGGGCAAACTTCTTCCCGCTGCGACGGCTGGCGGACACTTGACGCTTCCCTCCATACGCTGACGTTTGTCGCTACACAACGACGATGACCCTTCAATTTGACGCTTCGCCTCCGCAAGGCGCTTCGGCAAAAAGTCGCGATCCAGCCGCCCACGCTCCATTTCCATCACTACAGCGTGTCCATGTAGTCGACGCTTGCGGCTGTGTGCAACCGCCTTTCGGGCCTCCGCCTCCAAGCCAAACTGGACAAAGCCATACCTGCGGCTCTTCCCATTGTGGTCGCAGATGAGGCGTACGCTCACCACCCGGCCGAATTGCTCCCCAAACAAACGTATGTCCTCCTCTAAAGACTTGGGATGCAGACTAGAGACCACCACGGTGCTCCGGGGATCTGTGCGGATGTTGATGTCAGTGTATGGGTTGCGGCGTTCCATCTCGAGCATCATTTTATGCTTCCAGACGTCCTGTTTGCTCTTTGCTCCATCCCCTTCCGGTGGCTCCGTCTTCGTCATAGTTGGCGGTGAGGCGGAGGAGCAGAAGGATGACATGTGCTCTTTTTCAGCACTCACAATCTCCAGAGCTCGCTTATAAAAGGAATGAACAGGGGCATTGGCGATAGGCTCAGGGCGGCGACGACACTTCGGAATAAACGGTGGAGGCGGTCTGCTCTGAAAGAATGTCATCTTCCACAACATATGTTCCTCCACACGTCGCTTAAGAGCCTCCTTGCGTGCAACATCGTCCTCGCTCGGGGCCTGCATGACCTACAAACCTCAGGTCAACAAAAATTTAAAAAAAAAAAGATGGCGATTACTACAGAAGCACATCCACGTGTTGTATTAAAAAACAGAAGAAAAAGAGAAAAATAATAATAATAATAATAATAAAACTATTTTGCATCGGGTTTTAATAAATAAATAATTGAATAATAATAATAATAATAAGAGAAAGAAATAAACGCCTTTAAATCCGCCTGTCTTCTGTCTATAGATACACTTATTTATATAGGCAAATACAAATAATATATAGATGTCTCTACTCGACTGTCAAGTACCTGGGCACACCATTATATCTAACTCATATGCATACATATATAATAGAAAGAGAGAGAGTTTAAGTAAAAAAAAAAAAAACAGGAATTGGCATTATTCGGTCTCCCTTCTATCGGAAGACAAAGGCATGCTCTTCAATGAAGTGCCATCACACGACTCAGCGTTCGTGGCAGATTTCATCCTTTTTGGCATCACTTTCGGCATCCCTCGTAGTTCAACGTGGCAGTAAAGCGTGTTCGTTGCATTCACTACAAGACCCTCAGTAAAAAAGTGTAGCCACATGGCGGAGGCGCGGAATATGTCTAGTTTTACAAGATTCCGTAACTCCCCCGGCGTCAATCGAAGTCCCGAGTGTCGAGAACGCTTGCCACGGCTCGTAATTTGTCCCTCCGCCTCAATAAACACCGGCGGTGGGATATGCCACTCGGCACAAAATGCCCTCTTCTTCTCGCTGAGCGCATCCCACTTCGCCTCCGTCTCTGACTGTATCATCATTGGCTCGCCAAAAGTGGGTTTCACTCCTGTGAGCTGACTGATGCCTAGTACCCACGTCTCGAATTCGGCCACAGTATCGCAAGCAAAATCTGTGATCTTCGTCTTGTTCTCCTGCTGGAACACAACACCCCAGCTTGTATAATACAAACTCGATCCAGTGGACGCACAGGGTCGCCCCAGGAGTATTTGCCTGACGCTGCGCAACGGAATCCGGTCCTCACGTCCCAGCATCCCTGCCACAGACCAGGAGAGCTGCTCATTACCCGCTTTCCCATCCACATACAGAAGCCGGCGGTGTGGCGAGCCGCCTCTCGAGTACTTCATCACCTTCCCGCCCATCTTCACAAAAGAGTAAATGTCTTCCAGCAGCTCCGCCGTATCAAACCGCGTACCACGACACTTCTTTCCTGCATCACTGCCCTCCACAGATTGGGATTTCCAGTACTGGTGCGGTCGAGGTACTGAGTCGTCATTGAAAACTGGGTGGCTCCCAAGTGCCATTGGGTCGCCGTGCCGATGTTCTTCTTCAGGCTTAAGTGATGTCCCCACCGTGTTGCCCGCCATGTCGCACACCACGTGGCGCAACCAATCGTAATTGCTCTGTGGCTGTGGTGCGGCTCCCCACTGCCATTGATGCCGCTGTTCCTGCCTGGCCAGTTCCCCGGAAAGTCGCTGGGTTTCGCACATCAAACGACACAAGTCATCGCGTAGAGTGGCAGACTGAACTGCACATGCGGCAAACTCGGAGAGTCGTGCCCATGATTCTTCCCCTTGGTTTAATAGGTGAGCCTCTCTCGGCTCCAGAGCTGTTGAATCGGCGGCGACAAGATCTACCGCAGCATCGTCAGCACACATTAGCTTCTCCTCCAAAGCACGCAGTATGTGCCCCGCCTCCTCCAGACATTCGGCAATCTTCTGATGCTTCTTCTGCATTCCACAGCGCATAACTCGGGCGTCCTCAACCTGAGCTAAAGACATATTCACTTCATCCATCAACGCCCGTTCCTCAGCGTCTCCCTGACCCTCTGTTTGCGTTGAAAAATTTTCAATCTGAGTACACACACTATTCCACCTCTTTTTCCAATCTGTAACTATTTCTTTCCGCAGCAACCGCCTTTCCGCCTCCATCTGTTGCTGCTCCACCAAGCTCTGATTTTTTCCGCTGGCACTTGCCTTGAAGGCCTCGCACATCATACTCGCCGCCATTCTGCGGATCTCACATTCGGGCCTCCTCAAGTGAAAAGCCGGGTCATACAACACATTGTATTGATCATCAGCCACAAGTGGAATAATTTGCGGGGCAGTAAACATGTGTATTTCGCCCGCAATGTGCACATCGGCAATTAACGCTTCGTATTTCCGAAGCAAAGACAAATATTCGCAGACCATATCGTTTTCATCGGATCCACCACTGCGTGGATCTGGCTTCATCGCCTTCACCTTGTCGGCAAAGTACAGGGAGGAAAGTGTCTCGTCCACAGTTAGGGTGGTGGGACTCACATTGACGATAAGAACAACGCGTGCACTTGCCGTTGCAAAGGAGTCGCGAAGGACAGTTGTCAGTTTCGAGTCGCGATACGGAATGTGTCTTGAACCCTCATGCAGACTGTGCACAACATTCCCAAGCGCACTGAGAGACGCATTGATCCTTTTCAACTCGTCAAATCCATCGCCTTTTACGTTGGCGTTGCGCACCTTCTCGCTGCCCGCCAAGTCAACAAGTGAGAGTTTACTGTGCATCACTGGGGAATATTCCTCGCCAAAAAGTTGCTGAGAAGCCGTTGGAAACATCGGATTTGAATGCATCCGTGGTGCTTTTCCTTCCAATTGGGCGAGCTGAGCCGCCTCCCTCATAGATATGTACTTTAAGAGATCTAATGGTTGGGCACTGCCGGATGTGATGGGTTGCTGAAAGACTTCGATGGTAAAGACTGCATGCGAACGAGATGAGGTGTCATTGGCGGATGTCATCCGTTGCATCCGCCTTGCCGTCGCCCTCTGAAACACCCTCAGGCCATCCTCAAGACAGCAGATGGAAACATATGTCAACTTTCCAAAGCGAACCACATCTCTCACAAGAGACATTTGAACAGCAGTGGGTTGTTGCTCGTCAGAGAGCAGGTCTCGTACCTCATCAAGGTAAATCTCCACAGCGGAAAGGCCAACAACAATGTGGAATTTGTTTCTGTTAATCTCTGCGTGGTGCAGAATGTCTTGCAGGGCACGCAACAAAATACCCGTGTCGCTGGTGATGATATCATCCCCTACAGAACTTTTTTTCACCCTACCGAGAACCGTGTGCGTCTTTCCACTGCCCGTTTGACCATATGTAAGAATAGTCGCGTTGGTGCCACGGAGCACGTCATCCACCACGTCCATTGCAAGCTCGTCGTAGATCTCCTCCTGGAGTGTATCCTCGTCAAAGACAGCATCGTAGGAAAAGAAGAAGGTCCGACTGTCTATCGCTGGCCGTCCATCCCACACACGAAGAGTCGTGTCAGAATACCGCGAGCAAGCCATTGGCTCGTAGCGTTCGGATCTTTGAAGAGCATTCACCGTGTCATCCAACTTTGGCCGGACCCGCACGCCCACAGTCACACGATTAAAACCAGGCGGCATGCCTCACCTTTTCTCCAGAGGGGAAAGGGATGAAAGGCCTATACAATATTACAACCGTGCAGCTGGAGGAACTCCCTGAAGCAACGTGCCCCAAACTTACGCGAGTGGGAAATCCTCCTCTTCGCCCTTCTCTCTCTCTCCTTTTTCTATTGCTCCAGACGAGTGACTCACACCCTCACCCCTCCAACAAAAAGAAAAAACAGCAGAAGAAACAGGAAAAAAAAAAAAAGGAGTGTATGCCATCTCACCCCTCCTCCTCCAGTAGATAAAAGGAAAAGAATCCACAATTCACCTGCGCAGCCGGAAGCACATGCCCCGCCGTGTGATGTGAAGACTGATGGATAATAATAATAACAAAAAATGAGGCTAACAAAACGCACACAAGAAAATACAAACAATTTCCCTGGTCCCGCAGACCCAGCGCCCTATGCACCACTGCGACATATCCAACGGAAATAAACTCACCACGAATGGGAAGCAAGCGTACATACTAGAGGAAATCCCTCTTCTTCTCTCACTAATTCCCCAGTACTACTGGAATGGCGGCGCTGCGTGATGGAAGAGCTAGGGAAAAAAACACGGGAAAGAAGAAAGCGAGAATCATTAAGCATCCACTTTACTCTCCCATATATATATATATATATACGCTAGCGACTATAGCGTGAAGATTATGCCCTCCTCCATGAGTGCCTCAATGGCAGGCTTGATAAGCATTCTAACAGTGCCTTCCACTTTGCTGTTCGCCCCGGGCACCGTACCAAAGTTTGAAACCACACGGAATTTTTTGAGTGGATCACCAAATAACTGCAGTTTCATCATTCGACGCTTCACTATCACCTTCTTTTCCAAAATATCCGCAAATGACGGGACACTGTTACGTGCCGGAGAGGAGGATTTCAGGACACCGTCAGTGGCTCCATCTGCATCCAGCAAGGGTAAAGACGCCTCTGTTGTTTCAAGCGCACCTGGTGGTCGCATTCCTCGACGGCCACCGCCAGCAAGAAGAGCCCCGTAACCGAGACAAGTATTCGTGCCAGAAGAACGCACAGAGCGCGATGGACGCCGAACATTATTTTTAACAACCCTCGGTTTCACCTCTGTGTGAAAAATCAATGAAGAATTCTGCTCCCACTGCGGATTCTCTTCTAGTTCATGAAAGATTTCAATGGAGACCATTCCATCAATCTGAATGTCCCGCAATGTCATCTCAAAGGGGCAAAAAAAGGGAAGTGCAAAATTTGCATCGGCCTCCTCCGCGCTCGCCCCGACAGTGTCCAAGTTAATCTCTAATCCTCGCAGCCGCATCGAAAAGTCGCCATGGTAGTGGACCTTCACCATGATGGCGGTGTGCTCCACAGAAAGCTCACGAATTCCATTCAAGGAAATTTCCGGCGGAATGCACCCCAAGTTTAGCTCGTCCACACTAACAACGCCACGAATTTGCGCGTTCTTTCCACCCGACATGGCCTTGCGGATGGCCCTCTCAATGGAGATCCGAATCACTTCTTTGCTCTCCGTCGGCCATGTCTTGGGCCACTCCCATTGCAGCATTTCACTCCCAACTCTGTGTGTGCATTTGTGTGTGTGTGTGTGCAGAGGGGGGCGGGCAAGCAAAAAATTCGGTCGGGATGTAGGCAGAAAAGCAAAAAAAAAATGGCAGCAAAAGTGTTGGAAAACAGGAAAAAAAAAAAGAAAAAAAAAAGAAACGACGCAATAAAGAACAAGAAATAAATCCAAACTTCCGCCGGCTTCCTCATCCTCCTCTCTCTCTCTCTCTCTCTTATTCTCTTTTTTTTTTTCCTCAACACTCCTCAAAAGCCCTATAATTCAAGAAGCCATTCACATATGCGCACACAGAAGTATTGTATATATATATATAAACTTGGGGAAATAAAAGCAATTAAACGAGCCGCTCTCCGGGTGTGCGGCCAAAAGGGACGACGCTGCCATGCATGCTGCCCACATCCAAAGCTTCTTTTCCCTTAAACTTCGTGTGCTGTCCAAAACGGCGCAACACCATGTCACGAGGTCGAAGCTTCCACTCGGTACGCAACTGACGAAGTTCGTTTGGCGGTACTTGTAATATGGGAATATCTTCATCGTATAAAGAGGCGTCATCGTCAGACTCACATTTTGCATGTACGATAGCGCTGAAGGCATTCAAGGACGGTGAGTCCCCAAAAGTCTCAATGCAAAACCCGAGACAAATGCTGGTGTCCTTGTTGGGTGGCAGCTTTAGAAGAGAGAATAGCCTCACAATTTCCTCCGTCATGGCAATTGACCCATTTGGCGGCGTGGCGTACGCATTGGCCAGCAGCAAGGAGTTCAGCATCCGTGTTGTGAGAGGCTTGCCCAAACCCACAAGCTTCTTCAACATACTAAATCCCGAAGCCACCGCCCCCAAATGGCCGCACAGCTCAAGAAACTGATCGTAAATCAGGACAATGTAGTCAACACTACTTCCCACCTCTTCAAGACGAAGTAACATCTTCTCGCAGCGCTCCAGCATCGCTACACGCGGTTCCTCGCAATGAGCACATGACTGAATAAAAAGAAGTGTCATCTCTGGAGTGGGATTTATATTCATGTGAATAAAATGCTGGTCGTAAACGGCAAGTGCCAATTCTCCATCCCGCTGCAACGCGCAGTGCATAAACGCCAAAGTAAAGAGAACAAAATCCGGTGTAAGACCACGCGGGGTTAACTGTGAAAACACATCCATAATGTAATCGCCAAAGTCAGTAACTCCGCGAAGGGCGTAAACCAACCAGTAAAAGCATTCCAAAGAGAGAAGGATACCAGCCGTATCTGCAAAACTCTGTGCCTCCAGCACAAGTGTCGGTTTCTCCAGGGCGCAGCACATACGCATGTACGACAAAACAGACGCCGTTGAACGTGGAAGTTGGTAAAAATCAAAGAGAGCCCAAAGCTCAAGGCCGCGTTGCTCAAATTTCTTCCGCTCCAACTGTAGCTGTTGCTCAGTGCCGCCTTCCGTTTCCTCCCTCTTAGATATGCTTTCGGCACCCATCGCACACAAGAGCATGGCCTTATCTAACATGGTTGCACGCGGCCGCAAGTTCCGCGTGATGACTTCCTCCATAATCGAGATGCCCTCATCCACACGAGAAGCCGCAACACAGAGCGTCAGGACGGCATCAAAAAAGTACGTGTTAAGGGTAAAGGAACCGGGAGATTCTGCCTCCATCTCGCGCGCCCGAAGCGTATACACTTCCCATCCCTCCTCCCACTTGCCGCTTGCGGCTGCACAGAGCACCATCTCCGCGTGTGTCTCCACGCCCACCTCCACTGGAGGGATATTTGTTACAATCAAACGCTCAAACATCTCGGCAGCACACTGAAAGCTCGCGTGTCGTTCCCACTCCTCCAACATCTCAATCTGTTGGCGCTGAAAGCGGATAAGGGCAGCGCAACTTTTGTCAGGTAGTGGCACACGCTGATACAAAAAGTCCGTCAGAAGACGACCCGGTGTTGGGAGCATACGTGCATGACGGACGAGCTTGTCAATGTCAAGAATGTGCATGTCGCGCTTAAAGTAACCGTAGCGGGCGTAGCGAAGATTCTTCGCAAGGGCCGTCTGATTGTAGATATGCTTCATGTGTGGTCTGTCCGGGTCAACCCACACACGATGTGCCTTTTCAAAGCCGGGCTCGCCGCCGTAGAGCCCCATTGCCGCGTTGGTTAGTGCCGGGCGGTGCAACTCCTTGTATGCGGGGCTGCGGATGTGTTCTTCCATCGCCCGCCGCTCAGCAGCGGTGTCGTCAAGCCACAACGCCGTGTCGGCTGCGTGATCTTCCCTCTCATCATGGTGCTCTGCCGCGTAACGACGCGCCGCATCCACCGCCATCGCGGCGAAGCAGCAACGAAGGCCGGAGTAGAAAAACATCGCCAACGAAAAGCTGCAGACCGCAAGAAAAAGGCAGAAAAAAAAAGAAAAAGAAAAAATGAGAGTCTTTTGCAACACACCCACAGATATATATATATATATATCGAGAGAGAGAGAGAGGGAGAGATACACATGCTTGGATAAGTGTGCTCATAAATGAAAGTAGACGGAGAAGAAAATTCACATCTGTATGTGTCAGTTTTATTGCTGCCCTCCCTCCATATCTCTCTGTCTCTTTCCTCCCACGTGTACAGGCATACCCACACACTCACACACACCGCAGTGGACAGTGGTAAGTGGCCTCAACATAAAATTGTCCCCCGGCCTGTTTTTTTTTTTTTTTTTTTTTTGTTTATAATAAGAAAAAATCTCATTTTTTTTTTTGTGTGTGTTTCTTATTTTTTTACATAAAACACCAACAAAAAAACAAACAGAGAAACAAAGGCCAAAATGGAAAAAACGACAAATGTCCAAAAGAGGGAGGGGAAAGTCCACACCGTCACAAATGAACAATCACGTCCACGTCCACGCACATAAACAAGAGAGAAACAACCAAAGAGAAAAAAAATAAAAGAAAGAAAAAAACACAATCCACAAATAAAAATACATCGATGACAACTCAACTCCCCGGTCTACTTTCAGTCAAGGAAGGGAGCGTTAACGTGATTCCTTTTTCACGTGCCTCTTCTGCCAGTTTTCTCGCCAAGGCGCGCAGACGCTTCAATTCCGCCCGTTGCATCGCAAGCTCGCGTTTCGTCTCCTCTTGTTGCAAGGATGCGCCACACTTTTCCGTCTGTCGCCAGGCACCCGCCTTCTCAGCCAACCGTCGTGCCTCCTTCCGCAAGTCGTTGATCTCCCTGATGAGAATGACGTTCTCTGTGGTGATACGATTCTTGTCGGTGCGATTGTTCTCCGCGTCCTTGTTCACCTTGTTCTTCAGCCCTGCAAGGTTCCGCTCAAGGTGATCGCGCTCACGATTGTACTCCCGCACCTCATCTGCGGCTGTGCGAGAGGCAAGTGTCTTGTTCGCGGCAACCGCCTTGGTGGAGGTGTACTTGTCAAAAAGCATCTTGGCAAACTCCTTCAGTTTGCGCGGATTCGTCTCCTCCCGAAGACACGAGAGCTCCGTCCACAGGCGCGAGAGGTACTCCGAAAAGCCCCGCATAATTTCCGCAAGCTTATCGAGCTCCTTTTGCTGCCCTGCCTTCTTATGCCGCAGGTTGCGGATCTGCAGCACAAGATGTTCGTTGCTGTGTGTGTAATTATCAGCCTCTTTTCCCATCTCCGACAGACGACTTTTCGCCTGCCGTATTTCCTCGTCGCGTGGATCAATCTGTAACTTTAGTTCCTTGATTTTATACTCCAGCACAAACTTGAACTTCTCCAGCTCTTGGTTTTTCTTCTTGAGGTCAAGCACACGCCGCTCCTTCTCGGCAATCGTCTCTCCACGGTCTTTAAACTCCTGTGTGAGGGCCCCAATGTCACGCTTTGCCGCCTCAATCTGCGACTCCAATGTAGACTGTTGCCGGAGCTTCTCCCGCACATCCGCCTTAACCGCCTCCAGTTCGGCCCTTATGATGTTCTCTCGCGATAGAAGCAAATCGTTGTTGGCCTGCAAGGTGGCAACCTCCTCTTCCTGCTCCTTGCGACGTTTCTCGACGTCCTCCTTCAGCAAAGTGACCTCCACGTCTGTTTCATCTTCAATCAAAGCGCAATAGTTCTCGGTACGTTTCGTATCCTCATCCCGTTCCATCAAAAGTTGATGATTTTCTTCTTCCAGCTCTTTTAACACCTTTCGCTGTCTCTCATTGTCCTCCGCACGCTTCTTTGCGGCAACCTCACGAACCTCGGCAAGGTGGGCGTCTTGCTCATGTTGAAGTTCGTCAATCAGTTGTCTCAGTCTGTCAGCGCGGTCTCGTAGGGATTGAATCTTGAGACTGTAGTCCTCCTTTGTGCGTTTTAAAGCCTCCTTTTCCTTCGTCTCCATCTCTGCCATAAAATCTGTAAATTGAATGGCTTGTTCGTTTTTATCCGCCTTAAGTGCCTCGTATTGTGCGAGGCGACGCGCCTGCTCGTCGGCATACTCCTGCTCCAGTTTCAGCAATTGTTCCTCGTGAACTCTGTCGCGCTTAATCTGCTGTTGCTGCATCCGTTGCTTCAGCTCATTCACTTCTGCTTCAAGTGCTGAGACCGTCTTTGTGGACGCCTCCAAGTCGCTATTTGCCATGAATAGTTCACGTGAATATTCCACCTCCTTGTGCGGCCCTCGGTATGGGGCGACGACGTCCCAGAAGATCACGGCACCGTCCTCACCCACGCTGACAACTAGCGATTCGTCAAACGTCAAAGCAAGACGTGTTACAATACCGGAGTGCGCATTGTGTGATTCAATCATAATTTCCCCCCCATTTTCCCGCTCCCTTTCCATGCCAGAAAGTTTCTCACCAAGGTACGTATTGAATACACGCACTGTACCATCCTCGGCGCCGCCAATAAGTAGTTTCAGCCTGGGGCTGATGACCATCGAGTACAATGAGGCGTTTTGCAAGTCGTACTCGGCAACAGGCTGCAATTTTGTACGATCAAATTGACGCAGTTTTTGATCATTGCCGGCAGTCCATACGGTGCCTACATCAGCCAGACCGCAGTTATACGTCATGGCTTTGAGTACATTGTCGTTGACCTTATGAAAATCGCAGAGATTAAACTCATGGACAGCGCCGTCAAGCCCCACAGAGACCAACCTCGTGTCATCTGGAGGGACAAAAAAAATGGTTTTCACCTTTCCACTGTGCCCGCGCAAGTGGCCCAGCAGCTCACATGTGTATGTATAGTATACATGAATTGTTGTAGCGTGTGCCGCCGCAAAGAATTGGCCGCCCGTGCTGAAACGGCACTCCATACAAGAGCGAATTCCAATGTTTTTAAATTCTCTAACATCGTTGTGAAATAAATTCATCATGCGAAGCCCATCCGTGAGCCCCACCAAAAGATGAAGCCCTGATGGATGCATGGCGATACTGTGGATATCGGACGAAAAACGTTTACGAAACTCCACAACCCCTGTGATAAGGTTCCACAAAAAGATGCAGCGATCACGACCAGCAGTCACCGCATGTGGACGCTGCACGGAGACATCCACCGCAATAACGGCCCCGGAATGGAATGGTTGGCCAATAGGTTCAAATACCCGTTCGTCAGACTTGAAAAAGTCGGCATTGGGGAGGTTGATAGAGTACAACTGTTTCGTGCTGGTCATAAAGGAAACATACTCCTCCGCAGGTGGGGGTGAGAGTGCAAGAGAAAGGATCACCGGAATCAATTCACTCGGCGGCCCCATGTTTTCTGCATCATTGTTGAATTTAAAAGTTCGCACCTTGCGGTACATCTCCTTATTGTCTGTTCGTTCAAAAATATAAATGAGGCCCAGGTCACCACCGCATATAAATCCTTTGCTATACGCTATGAGCGTATTGATAGAAACCCCATCTGATGGAGACATTGGAAGCGGGTATTTGTATTCATTATTTTCCATGAGAATGAGATCACCATTCTCCGTGGAGAGAATGAGACGGTTCTCTGTCGGGATCCAAATATGGGACATGTAATTTGTCACGGGCTCCCGCAGCCCACCCGAGGCGCGACGCAGTTGATTATCCCGCAACAAAAGAAATCTCACAATACCATGACCAGAGACACAAACAAGAGAGAAGTCGTTTGGGCAAATACTGCACTGATTAAGCAGACGCTTATCTCGAGAGGCGAGCTCATTTTCATCAAGCACGGCACAGGTGGCCATTATCTTTGCCCGTTCAACATTCCAATAAACGAGATTCCACTCGGGATAACCACCAAGCGAAATGAGATGCCGCCCATCCAAAGAGAAACCAAGTGAGATGTACTCTGTGGAGCCAAGGTCAGGCACTTGTAGAACTTTCTTCCGCCTGAGCTTTGGATTTCCACTCGGATCGCATACATAGATGACAATGCAGGGAAACTTGGAGCTCTCCGCAACAGCCAACAGCCGGTGATTGTAAGATATCGCCAGAGCTGTTACCGACTGGCAAGTCGGTGTGCAAGAAATCAACTGTTGTGTGCCAAGCTGCGTGTCCAAAATGACAAGACTCTTTCCAGACACCCAGACGACATTTGTGTCATCGAGGTATTGAAATCCGTCCTTCACCTTTTCGCACACGCCAAAGACGTGGCGGCGATCTATCATGCGCGGTGGGGCTGGAGGGGACGGCATTTTCTAATCTTGTCCTTTTAGGATGGTTGTGTTTGTGTGTGTTTTTGTGTATTTATCCGGTTCTCTTGTTCCCCCCTCACTCTATCGAATCTCACCCTTCTCCCACTTCGTGTTTTTTTTTCTTCTTCTTTTTCGTTTTCTCCTGTGTTGGTGTGCTGCTCGTTCCTTCCACCTGCCAACTTAGTTTCAAAGGTACTACACAAGAACAAAAGCAAGAAAAATGCATAGAGAATAAAAATGACAACTCATCCCTTTGAAAATCAAGAATGCCACTCAAAAGAAAAGAAAAAAAAACACGATAAATAGGCACGGACCACAGCATAAAGGGTATGCCCACAAAAAAAAAAAAAAAGAGAGAACTTAAGATTAAATAAAAGAAAAAAAAAGCCACCAAATAAAGAAAAAAAAAAACAAGGTTTTATCACCACAACAACCTTTCTCTCTCTTTCTCTCTCTCTTTCTCTCTCTCTCTCTCTCTGTGTGTGTATTTGGAATATATCCATGCCTCTATGGACTTTCTATAAAAATATCAACTTCATATTCTATGCTAGTTCCCCTTATATTGAGACAAATAAATTTCCAACGTTGAGAAACAAATGATCCATTCTCCTGTAAAAACTATCCGCGCAAAAAAACAAATGATCCACAGGCTCCACGTCCACAGCACGGGCAGCTCCAGAGAGTGTGTACAATTTTTGATCCGTGCCAAGGCAACGCAAAGCAAGATTGCGGTGGGCGGCTTTAATTGCCGGAGAGCATCCAGGAGCATGCGGAACGTCAAACAAAGCTCTAAAATATGTAAACTGTGCTCGCACCGCCCGTACCGCCGCGGCATTACCGCCTGATATGTAAAACTGCTGTATTATCTTGTGACACATCTGAGTCAGACAGTTTGCGAGGTATGTAACAGAAAGAGATTGGCCACAGTTGACGCAATTGTACAGTTCAAAGGGTTCATTTGGAAAGGAAGTCTTGGAAGCACTAAACATGTCATTGATGTACTTGTGTGGATCGATGGGAACAACCTGATGGCACCGCGTACATTGAACCTGAAGAGGCACTGCGGTGGGGAAGCACTCGGAGAGATCGCGGCTCTTGAATAGTGAGCAATGTGAAAAGTCGTCCACAATGAGCGTCTCCTGAATTTCCCGTTCAGTTCGCACATGACACGCAACCCCCATGGCTTCACTCAACTGCTCCGGAGAAAACCCTTGAATGTGTTCACACAACCGCATCACAGGAGGGTACAACTGCGATGACAAATACCACTCCACATCGATTCGGATTCCCTTGGTTCTTCGTACCTCATCCACGTGATACGCCTTGTCATTAAGATGTTCGCCCTCGCAAATAACATAAGGGATAAGGTCTCCAACACGAACATTTTCTTTTCTTTGTTTCATACGAAGCGCAACCGCAGCGTGGGGAAACGCAGTCCCACGGTAAGACTCAGGCTCTTTTGTTAAGCTCTTGGAAATGACAAAATCCTCAAGTCCGTAATAATTTCCAGCACGCACATGGTCGGAAACAGTTTTCATGTGGGTCATCACGTAGTCTAGGATATCTTCACCTGCCTCGGCATTCAACACTCTGCTAAGCACAGCCTCGGAGACCTTTTGAGAGAGAGGACACCAATCCCTACGAACCATATCCAAACCTTTTACTTCTTTCTTGTACGTTTTGCCATCATTTTGCCAATCCACAACACTTAATGCCGCATATTTTTTCTTTTTAAGGAGAAGCATAGCCCTAAAAACGCCATCAATGTCCAATTCCAGGCTTTGGTATCGTTGATTAACTTTATTCTTTATTTCAAAACCAAGTTCACGCACTTTCCTGATGTCGTCTTTGATACCGGTTTGGATCATGACAGAATCCGTGTCACCGTAAATAACACGCAACAATGGCGAAATTTGTGGAATCAACTCAACTGTATTCTGTAAGGCAATACGACCTTGCCGCGTGACAAGTTCGGCAAGAGGCTGAGCATAGAAGCGGGAGTGTTCAAAACCAAGACAGCCATACATACTGTTAGCGGTTAATTTAAGAGACCTCTGACGAATCTCCAAGGTAGCAAGATTGTTTGGATCCTTCTCCGTCTTCATCAAACGTTTAATTTCTCGTCTACTCTCCACAAGCCCTCGAATGACCTTCGGTAAGACACATTTGTGTGAGCACGGAGACGGTAAACCCGCAGCCGCACAAGAGGTGCAAATTAGCCTCTCAGGTGGAGGAATCTCGGCAGATACCGTGTTCTCATCCCGTTCAATTGTAGTATAGCAGATATTAAACTCCTGAATAAGAGAGGGATAAAGCGAATTAAAGTCAAGAAGAAGAATATAATCCGAGTAAAGTCCACTTTTGGGCTCCAATACCATACCACCCTGATACTTCGTTTTGCGTTTGGTTTCATCCTCCAGATCCTGTCGCCCCCTTTTCCCATCAAATCTTTTCTTATCTGGCGTCACAAATTTAAGATCATGAAACGCGTGCAAAAGAAGATACTCAATTCTTTCAGAACGCGCCCCATACAAAGTTCGGCTCCATAAATTGCCTGCCAATGTAGTTAACCGTTTGGTAAGTGGAATCGCGTCCAGAAAGGCTACCACACGCACAGAAAGTACCGCACAATTAAGAAGTTGTAAAAGAACGTGAAAAAGGTCTTTGGAAGATTTCATAATATCATTCCCAAGAACAGTTAATCCAGGTTCAAATGAACCACGGCCATCTGTAATACCTGCAACTCCCATCTGAGTAGCCAAAGATTCCAGTTTGTAGTTTGTACTCTTGTAGTATTCCCTAGAAAGAAGGTATGTGTCAACAACAAGACGACCAATACACGCCTCTTTTTCATTCGACAGATTAGAATTCCCATTTTGTGAACGTGGAAAACGTTTGATATCAAGACGTCCAATCGTCGACCACCGAGGTATATTCAGTTCATGATAGCGATTCAAAAGAATATCAATCGTGTACCCAATGAAATTGTGCCCAACTACAATGTCAGGGTCCAAATTCCCCAAGGTTGACGCCATCCATGTGAGTAAAGCTCTTTCATTTCCAAAATTCTTTACACCAGGTAAACCTTTTGACTGACAATAAGCCTCCAAATTTAACGGTAAAGCCGCAACCGATGAAATTTGTCTGATTCCTGTAAAGCATTCCGAAACTTCTGTCTTCATGCCCGAATCAATGTTAACATCACGATAAACAGCAATCGATGCAGCCACAACCTCATTTGTTACACCCTTGCTGTCCAACTGAGTATGCAGTTGTATACTTGCAAGTGTGAAGAGTGGCGAGGGTCTCGCTGTATCGTCAACCTTGATGTTTTTCGGGGAATCCACCACAAATTCCAATTCACAATGGGATAAACGTTCTGTTGCAGGAAAAAAGTTCTCCATGGAAAGATATGAAGGCCCCATAAGCTTCTTCTTTATCAAGAAAAGCTCAATTAACGAACGGGATGCACCCATAACAGCTCGAATGTGCTTAAATTCCCCCATAATAGGAAAGCCTGGATATTTACCTGGAAAACGAAGCTTTGCCCAACGATTCTTCTCACGCCTTATACCAGGTTCTTCAAAGGCATAATATCTTTCCACAAACCTTATCCGTCGCTCTCCTATACCATGTTTTTGACACACGTCGTTTATCTCCTTGATAATTTCCGTATCAGATGACCCCTCACGAGGAAGTAGAAATGTACACCGGTAAACGTTTTTGACACGAACACAACAAGAAGAAAAACTGACTTTTTCTCTTTTTTTCTCATAAAACTTACCAAAAAGAAATATAGTACCAGGTTCCGATAAAGTATGGGGCTGTTCTTTCGCATCAAACCAATAAAACACTCCACTAGATGGGTACCCCTTATTGGCGTTATCGGAGCTCTGCTTCAATTTACTTAGTGCCTGCGTCGGAAGTTCAGTGACGATGTTTAGATCCCCTGAAAATGGATCTTTAACAACGTAATTGGCTTCACTCCCATGTCCATTTTGCTTCTTGTTTACAACAGCTTGCCGTGCAACCGATTTCTTTTCGTAAGAAAAAATCTCATCGTTGAGACTTACCAAAGGAACGCTTGGCGTCGTTTCTACTGATTTTGATGCGCCTGTATTCTTTGTCGTCAACAACGAAGATATAAGTTCGTCAGCGGTGACACCCTCTTCCTCCTCTCCACTCTCCAATGCATCATCCTGTAGGAACTTGGTGACGTCTATTCCAATCTCATCCTCCTCATCCGCAACAGCCCCCCGATACTTTTTCAGGAGATTCTCCATGTCAGACGTACTTATAGACTGGGTCAGCTTCTTTTGTTGTATATGAGCAGCTTTGGAAAAGACTGTTGACTTCTTACTCTTCTTGGGTTTCCGTTTCCTTGCGTCCTGTGGTAGCACCAAGGCCCTACCATCTGTGATGTTGGCATCATCTTCATCCGAGTCGATCATCGCCTCCTCCTTTAATCTTTGCCACTGTTCTTCCTCCGTCTCGGAAAAAAGAGAGACCATTGCCGCTGTCTCTCTTTTTTGATCCTTCGTGCGACAACTTTCCCATGGCTCCATTTGTAGCTGAAAAGAACTTTAAAAAATCTCCAAAAAAACACAAACAATTGGAAAAAAAAAAAAAAAAGAGAGAGGGAAAAGGAAAAAAATAAAAGAAACCAACCAGGACGCTTATGGAAGAAAGAAAAAAAGGCATCATAAATGTTTTGCAAAAACACGCATAAACCACTCCAACAATACATCCTCAAGTCTCAAACTCCCTTTTTTTTATTACTATTTACACATATAATATGTTAAAAGACCCATGGTTTTACCCTCTTGGTGTTCTTCCCCAGAAAAAATGCAGAAATTAAATGTAACACCTATTCCCAAAAGGAAAAAAAAAGTAAAAAACAACCTGTATCCCAAGAGCTACCAGCTACTTTTGCGCAGCCTCCATGCGTCGACAAACATCTTTCAGTACATGAAAATTTTCCACTGAAATCGCTAGCTGTCGAGCCAGATTGATGAGCGAGACCTTCTCTCCTCTACTAAGTCCCAATATCCTGTCTTCAGAAATCATAACAATCTTCAGTGCCGTAGCAATACCCATGGTTTGAAGCTTTCCCCACACACGGCACTTCTCACAAGTTACACAATCCATCAAGGTTGTTATATTATACGTCATTCGCTTCATTTGTGGGATGAGTTGTTTTGCCTTTGCTGATTCCAAAAATTTTGCCTCGTTAAAAGTGGTAGAGCACAATAAATGGGTATTGAAAAGCTCCCGAAGTTCTTTGTGCAGAAAGGTATCTTCTGACGTAGGTGTCCCATCTGTTCCAGAGTTAAATGCATTAAGATCGGATAGGAAAACGAGCCTGGTCTTTGTAAGTGCACGAAGAACAAATTGATAAAGGACATAGAGATTATTGATAAATTCCGTATTATTTACGATCCGCCTATACATCCCACAGTTGGGGAAATAGGATACACTGGGATTCCTCAAAACTCCAAACTCTTTTAAGGGGGACGTTCCATCCTTGTCCTTGTGGAAAAAGGCGGCCACATGCATTGTAATAGAAGTGTGTAACCCACTGATAAGACTTTTAAAAACTTTTTCTTCCTTACATTGTGTTTCAGCCTTTAGCCCGTTCTCCTCAACCACCTCTGTCATGCAGTTTTCTTTATAAATAGCCTGCCACACTCGGGAGGCCATTGGTCCAGAATATCCTGTATTTCCTTCGGGATTTTGATAAAGGTCCACATAAGTCGCAGTGGAATCAGCATCCCTCCAGACGCCCCATTTATCAACATTAAGAGGATCTGGCTTTCCATAGAAAACACGAGAATCAACAACAGAGGGATCACTCATATCGTGAGAATATTTGAGAGCTTCCGGAACTTCATTTGCATCACATGAACAAACCTGGCAGTTATTTTCTTCGCTCGTGCACAGAAGTTGAACCGCCCAGTAGGGGCAAGGCTTCTCCAAATTCACCTTAAAGAAGCGAAAAAAAGGTCGACTTGTTATGTTGTTTAAAAGTTGAGCAATATCCTTAGTGCCTTTGCTGATATCGTCTAATGAGCAACAGCAAAAGCTTTCCTCTAGGTCATGATCATCATGATTCTCAGGATCATCCAAATTTGAGGTAGAATTATATACAAAACTCCCATTCCGAGCCCTTTCTGCCATCTCCATAACACCAGGTAACAACACGTAGCATAGTGCGCCCAAGAGAACGGGCAAAAATAAAGAGGTGCTCACTCGCATCACCTCCAAAGACAAAAAAAAAGACTACTTTTCTTGCTGTATCAACTTGAAAAAATAAAGATAGCAACAAAAATATAAATATTGAGGAAAAAAAAGAGGACGGGGCACAGTGAAAGAGCGTGCGCGTAAACGTTTCCATGGCGAATAAGCGATGGCGAAAATAAAATTTAAAAAAGTAAAAGAAAGACGCCGGAAAAAAAAAAACAACAAACCCGAACATTTCCCGGGGGAACGCCGGCACCACCCGAAGCCCGGACCGCCCAAAGGAAAACCGAAACCACAAGCGCAAATAAAACGAGGAAATCAAGAAGGACGCTTCCGCGGCGGACCGCCGTTCGACGACCGCCGCCGCCGCCCGCTCCTCCCCTTCTTTTTTTTCCCTTATTCCTGCATTCCCGCCCTTTTGGGCAACCCTTCTGCTGCCTGATTTCTTCTTCTTGCTCTTTTTTTTTTTTTTTTTTAGTGTTTTTTTGAAAATGACTTTTCGATTTTTTTTTCCCTTGGCAAAGCGCGTGTTTCACCCGAAAGGAAGGAGCGACGGTCGCTTGCGCACTGCCGATTTCGAAGCGTTCGTTCGCCGGCCTTTTCGTGAAAGGGTTATGGCCCACGCCTACGGTCCTCCAAGGAAAAAGCACGATGCGCTGGATCGCGGGAAGGTGCGCCAGGAATCCTTGAAGCAATACCGAGCCTTCAACGCCGCGCACGCACCATTACAAGCGTTAAGACGTGAGGTTAGGAGGGAGTTTCCGCTCAAGGGCAAAGCCGCATTTTTACCAAGGCGTTAGGCCGTCCTTTTGATTAAAAATGTGGTTTTGGGGGCGTGTTATTTTGCTCGTACGATGCATTTTTTTTCTTCTCAGTGCTATTATTTCTTTAGAAGGAAACATATATCTGATGGGAAGATCCTCTTTGTGCACGTGTGTATGTGTGTGTTTTATTTTGAATGTTTATTTTCTTTTTCTTGCTGACTTTTTCTTTGTTGCTGTTGTTTCTCTTTGTTTTGGGATGCTTAGGGAAGAGCATTTTGTGTATGGGAAACTCCACATCCACATTGACGGCTTCTTGATATTACTGAAAGATGGCGACTTTGTACCACAATCGTCGTAGTCCTTTTTTACGACAATGGACTTGATAAACAATGTTCTAATGCCCTTGCTTACCACACCTAATCGTAT